TCTTGCGCTGTGTCTTCCCTTGGCAAATAGATGGAAATTGCTATACGTCTGGTTTACTAAAATGCAATTCAGATAATTGATTACTACATTTAATTAAGAAGTAATTTCTCTTCCCTCTGTGCACAGAAGAGAATAAAACTTCTCCACATGGTCAACTGTTTCTGGATATTATCAGATCAAGCACAGTCTATACTGTAGCTAAATGGACGGTGTGAGTCATTTAATAGCAGATGTTAAAGAACGGAATTAACATTCTTCTGAAATCATTTTTGGGAAGCACACTCCATCCTCAGAAGGTCACTTAACGTCTCATTAACCTGTTCTTACTTCAGTGAAGCAGCATCTGTGTGTTTCCCTGTACACTGGTCATAAGCCATTGCCATATCTTTACTGCATCATTCAAGTTAGCAAATGCACCTTCAAAAGTCATAGCCCCATGTGTGTACGTGCATGGACATGTGAAGACATTAAATGGAATGGAAGGGGCTAAAGAAAATAATCCACACCCAGGTACTCAGAAATGTTCTGCACACATTCCTCTAAATTTGGAAAATCTTGGCTCTTCATTTAAATGCTTAAATGTGACCCAAGCACTTTTGAAAATCTTGCCCCACCTGTGGGAGCCAAGCACTTCTGAAAAACCTGGCTCAGAGCAAGCAGAAGGGTTTCTGGAAATGTTCAAGTTTTTTCATTTCTTTCTATTACGTTCTTCAGAGGTAGAATTAAAAGTCTGCAAAACCAATTTCAAATGCAGTGTTTCCTAAGGAAGCCAGGCTTAGCTTTGATCTTTGGGCTAAGGATTATCTCATACTACATGCGTATGCAGCATCTAGCAAAATCCCTCCCCACCCCACCCCATGTTAGTTGTGCCTTTTAGGTCTTACTGTAATATAAGTTATAGTTGTAGTATGGCAAAATGTGTGAATGAATTGATCAGATATGTCAACTAAAACCTATTGTTATTTGTGATTAGGTTTTATTAATAGCAGGCAGCACATTCAATACATATTCTCCAGGATTTAGGCACAGATTTCTAAGGGTATTTAGCTGTTGCTGCAGTCAGGATAGCAATGCCTAAGTACCCTTAAAAATCTGGACCTCAGTGCTCAAACCTGCTCACACAAAGTAAAAGGCAAAACTCCGACTGGCTTCAACAGTGTACTTTTAAAATTAAAATCACTGGTGTTAGACTGACTTACAGCTTCTGAGGACCTGGCCCACAGTGCACATCTACAAAGCCAGGTAAGTACCCCTTTGCCATGCAGTGACTAATATTCAGTACTCGTTTTAACTGCACATGTTCAAGTCAACAAAGAGCTGCTAACAAAGAAAAATAATGATGCCTGTTTACTCTCCTATTGAAGTCATGCAGAGTTTTGCCATTGACTTAGTGGCATCAGAATCAGGGCCAATAGCAGTCTGAACTTATACATGA